GAATTGTATAATCTTAGCATTACCTCCCTTGACTTAAACTCCACACACCTGGAGATATACCCCAACATCCTATTGGCCTTTTTTATTGAAGTATAGATACATGTTTTTACAAATACTCCAGTAAAAGTTGAATTATTGACTTAATTTTTTTACTCAGGTTAAAGTGAAAAGTACAGGCTCTAAAACATACTTAAAGTATAAAAGTATAAAGTAACCTTGCAAAGGACAAAACCACCATTTTAGGGCAAAGCTGACTGGACTGCATGTAGAACGCAAGCAGAGAAAAATAAAGTGAGATAAATACTTAAAGCTCCCTTGGTCATAACCATCATTATATATGACGATTGCCTTTTTCCTAAACACATGCAAAAAATATTATAGTACTGTAAAACAGTATATCAATGTGCATGGTGTTCAAAAACTTTATTTGTATGCAAATATAAGCCAGAAGAACTGAGGCACACACCATAGTACTACCAGAAACCTCTGTTTAGCTTCAAAAGAAGCTGATTTTTTCAAATTTCTTGGAATCAAAGCATGCCCATTTCGGCGTAAATATCTGTCTGGCAGCGCTGAACAGTCTCTCGCATGTAGCTGAGGCTGGTAGTGGAGTGTTAAGCCTCAATGACAGGTTGAATATTGTCAGGAAAGACTTGAGTATCTTCATTGCATCACCTGGGCATCCCAAGTAAATCTCCAGCTGTTTGGCCCTTTCTTGGGAACTGGGGTTCTGTGTTATTGCAGAAAAGAAGTCATGGTCCTCCTCTGAAGAATGAGAGGTCTCACCTTGATTCTCCACAGCATCTTTCATATGAGCTGCTTTCTTCCACTGCAATCACGATATCTTTTCCCACCGAGTTGCCACCTGGTTTTAGTCTCTCTCTCTCACTTTATCATGTCTATTGTGTTGTGCATCATGTGCAAAGATGAATACACCAATGGGATTGTCTTTTCTGTGCGTGTTTACAAATGTCTTTAAGCCTCAACCAATCAGTCAAGTTGTCTGGATGGCCTTTATTTAAATGAAACGAAACAAGAGTAACAAGCCTGATTTGAAAATGTAGAAAGTGTAGAAAGTACAGATATTCATGCTAAAATGTACGTAGTAAAAGTTTAAAGTTTAAACAAAAATAGTCAATTAAGTACAGATACTCAAAAATTCTACTTAAGTACAGTAATGAAGTATTTGTACTTCGTTACTTCCAACCTCTGATGTTGGCCCATATGGTCCAATCCCACAGGAAAGCTACTGTAGCACAAATTGCTAAAAAAGTTAATGCTGGCTATGACAGAAAGGTGTCAGAACACACAGCTTGCTACATATCATACATATCAGATTCCCCAGATCCCAATCTAATCGAGCATCTGTGGGACGTGCTGAACAAACAGGTCCGATCCATGGAGACCAACTTACAGGACGTAATGAATGCGCTGCTAACGTCTTGGTGCCAGATACCACAGGACATTCCACAGCTTTTGCGGAGTCTATGCCTCAATGGGTAAAAGCTGTTTTGGCTACACAACATTACACAGAGGGTTTTACTATTTCCATTTTTGGCTTTGTACTATTTCTTGATAATTTGTATGTATGTGTTTGAACTGGTTGATATCTGTATACAGGTGCCAATTAGTGGTTACAAAGCTTTCTACAAAGTCAACAGGATAACAAGAAAACAGCTTGTCTGTAATTGCACTGCAGAGAAAACCAGGAGCCCATATCAGGGGGACCATTCTCCTCTCAGGGTGCAGGTTCGAGGGGTCGCCAATCAGCTAACAATAGGGTCAAACCCAACAAATGCTGCCCATAAATGGACAGAAATAGGGAGCAAATCTTTCAAAGCTTTACTGGTCATGGGACTGCTGATGTCCCCTTTTCTTGTGGTGTCTCTTCCAGCTAGTGTGACAGAGATCATAGAACAGGAAATTACATCACACAGAAGCTCTTAAGGCCGGTTTGCAATCAATTCCTCTTCCATCCAATGTAGGGGTGGGTGGAGTAGCTGGCCTAGGCCCACCCACAAATGGCGAACATGTCTCCACATTGCTTTCCATCTCAACTCTCCCACCAGAGAGCTGTGTCAGGTGTGCTGGTTTGAAGCCCCCACCCCCCAAGAGACCTCGCCCAGAAGGGTTCCGGAGTGATAAATTCTTCACTGAGATACACAACTAACACCCAGCAGAATCTCTGGAGAGGGCAGTTGCATCCACATTTCATCATCCCTTTGTATAATCACATTGTCACGAAAATGTAAAAAGGTTCACACAGAGTAAGGGGCTGCTAAAGCACGCAAAGGCTCTTCATTGCAAAACAATGTAACAGGTCGTCAGGAGATCAGTAACGCTACCTGAGGGATTAAGCTTAATACTGATAACACTGATTCTTATTTTATTATAGAAGAATTTTATTGAAAGACTATTGCAAGTAATGAGAGTAAAGTGCCCCAACTTTCATTTAGTAGATGAACTTCCTTTGGAAGCTTTTGAGTGCTTTAGCAGAGCCCAGCCTCCCCTGCCTGATCAGATGGTTTGGTCCGTTCCCTTTATCCCTCCTGAGAGTCGTCTCTCCGCATTGAGGTCTGCACAGTGCCCAACAGCAGGCCTTTTTGCCCTAAGGACTAGCACCTCACGCCTTAAGCATCTAGCATGACACCTCTGCTTGGTCCTCATCTGCAGCTTTAAATGTCACACTGCTGCTGATCTCTCTTCACTGAACCTGGATGGGAAGCTGGAGACCGCTGGTCCTGACTTTCCATGGACTCAGGACCACGTTATCAGAAGAACATGACCCTAAGCCTAGTACCATAACATGTGATGGGAACAGAGGATCAGACAGAGGAGTGTGTGAAGGAGAAATAGCGGCTCCATAACCCACCCTCTGCTTGTCCGGGTCCACATATCTGATGCCAAAGTAGTCCTTCTCGAGCAGGTTCAGGTGTTGGCAGATGAGCTCAAACAGGTAGAGTCCCTTAGAGTCCCTCTGGAAAACAGTAAACGGAAACAGAAAGGTCACAGGTGGAAACCTGCTTGACGACATTCCGGGCCTGAGCTGCACAGGAACTCTTCTCAGAGCTGCTTCATCCTTCACAGAACCTTCAAGAAGCCCAGGCCTTCCTCAAATATGAACAACTGTCTCAACCAAAAGGTTGACACACTCTGGGTGCTCTTCCTGCAGTAGACTCTGAGGTCACCTGCACCCTAAAGCCCACCCAAGGTGAAGACTCTGGGGTCGGCCCCTCCACCTTGGTCTTCCGGGTGTGACAGCACCCAAAACAGCCTCTCATGCACAAAAAGGGCTTGTGGGAGTTTTACTTACACAAATATGTTCTGAGGGCAGAAGGAACAATGATAACAATGATGGTTCAGAAAGATATCCAATCAAATTGTAGAGGAGATAGGTCCAAGCCGTGGAGGACCTTTTGGGCTCATGAGAGATAACCAATCAGATTGTAGAGAAGGCGGGACCAACCAATCTAATGTCTTGGGCCCGCCTCCTCTACAATCTGATTGGTTCTCCCATGAGCCCAAAAGGACCTCCACGGCGCTGCAGGACACAGCTGCGAAATCCTCAGCTCCTTTTCAAACCGTCATTAAGTTCTCACCTTTCATATTCACCTCCACTTTCTGTCTCTTGGCCAACTAAAGGTTTCCCAGTTTCCTTGAAACCCAAGACCCATTTCTGGTCGGCAGCTATAAGGAATGTAGCGATGCTTGAAGGTGTGTGAAGGAGAAGCTCTGAACAATAACCCTGGCAGCCAGAAAGATCGCGCTTCATGGTGCCTTGATCTGAAAAATCTGATAATTCCATGGGATCCGTCAATCACTAAGGAACCCTGAGAATAGGTCCAACTCACAGGAAAATACATACACCAGAAATGAAGGTAGGGGAACAGAATGTGGAGAAGGACTTGACCTGGACCCCTTCTTTAGTGTGGAGAGAGCAGGTCCCTCCATCTTTCCCGAAGAGCCTTAACCCAAGGCAGTGCTCCATCTGACACCACAGCTCTACCTCAAACCAACAAGCCTCCATAGTGGCATCTGATGGTCGCAACTTAATCAGAGGGATGAAGCTGTAAATCTTCTTCCACAGCCGAGCAGCACAGCGATATTTCCCAGGCTGGAGGATGCAGACGGGGCTGTTAACAATCAACAGACTTCTTCAGAAACAGCACAGGTGACCAACCGCAGCGAGTACAGTAAAATCCCGTTATAATGGACTCACTTATAACAGAATATCGTCTATAACGGACGAGGTCCGCTGGTCCCGGCCGTGCGCCTTTACGAACGTGCAGAAAAAGCATCGGATATAGCGAACTCGCATATAACGGAATTTCGCTTATAACGGACTAATAGTTTGGTCCCCAGGGCTGCTTTTAGCTGTAGTTCTGTTCGGCTATAACGGACATACAGCTCCGCCTACAAGGCGTGTGGCGTGCCGGTGATATCCAGCTCAGATACGTACGTAGTCGGGATTATTAATAGTCACGCATCTGATCAGGTAAAGTTGGATTACTACATGTACAATATAATAATCTATACCACAAGTGTGTCTGCTGGGGTGTGACATGAGTAAATGGTGTCCTGTAGTTGTGTTCTGTGCATACAGCAACTCTGGATATAATGGACTTTGGATATAACGGACTGCTTTGCCAGGTCCCTTGAAGTCCGTTATAACTGGATTTTACTGTATTTAATTACGGAGGCAGGCAAGGTGACCGATGTCCCCAAAGGGCAGTTTCAGCTGTGTCCCTGCAGGGACCTCCGCGGCCCGTACTGTCAGTCTGTACCCGAGATGCAGAAATAACATGGAAAAATCTGGTAATATGAGGTGCTGTTTGCTTAAATTAAAGGGAGAAATATGAACCCGGGCTCCCTAATATAATGCTCAAGATAAATAAATATAAACACACCCACAGGTACAGGTTTTGACGGGATCCTGTAGCAGACTCCAAGGTCTGTGAACTGAGTGACTCTCACTGATCTTGTATTATGAGGGAAAATTTCCAGGATATACCACTGAAATAAGGAATGACCTCTCCTTCAAATCTCCATCTTCAGCCACTTGTGACGAGTGCCAAGTGAAAGCTACTTTCTGAACCTTTGTCTCAGCTAAGGCCCTTCGAAGCCTCACACATAATCTGCTGCCGTTTGTTTCTAGGTCAGGAGAGCTCGGATACCCCTGGTGATCAGTCACAGAACAGCACAACTGTCCACGGATGAAACAACACAGCTTTGGGGAATTAACCTGGATAAACAGGGCTAAACTGGAACAAAACACTATATGAACCCATCAGAGATGCTGTAACACAGGCAAACTACTCAATGTTCAAACCCCAGTTCCCATAGACCTCTCTGAAGAACACCTAGCTGTGAAATCCGCCTTGGTGAGCTAGATAAAAGTCAGGTAAACAAAGTTGAATTGTAATCCATCTGGGTTTACCTGCCCTAAGCAAAGGCAGGAGACGCTGTTTTTTGAAATTTGATCCCACTCTCAAGCACGTTTTGGACAATTTTGGTACAGTGTTTAAGTATGAACTGTGATGAAACTCCCTGTGGAGCCTGGAGGTCTTTATATCGGCCAAGCAGAAGAGCCAAGACCTGATAGCACAAGGAGACAACTGTCCAACCTTAAGATGAAGAATCCAGGCATAGGAATCACGAAGGGGGCCACTGGAGATGGAAGAAGGTGGACTGGGGGGCTTGAGCGGAAAGCCAGCATACAAACGGGAAGCTGTCCTCTGTGGAAGCCCCGCATGCTTCCGATTTGCTGTTCACACGGGTCTCATATAAGCAAACAGAACACAGCAACAATACAAGCTGGTGTCGTTTTCTGCTTAAGGGAAGTAACACAGCAACCCACAATAACGGAATTTCTGTAAAATAGCACAGAGCTCTCACGCCTCAGAGGACTCCTGCTAATCCGTGGTTTCAACAGCAGACCATGTTTTTGGTCCCCATATATAAAAATCTGTGAATGCAATCAAAAAACAAAAAAATATGCAAAAGATAGTTACTTATGGTTAAGGTTAGGGCTGGGTAAGGTTTAAGGTTGTCATTTTTGGGATTAGGGTTACGCCCATAGAAATGAGTACAGGTTTGTGTATGTATGTATGTATGTGTGTGTGTGTGTGTGTGTGT